TCTCATAGACTTAGCCTTTAAAATAGCATCTCATAGACTTAGCCTTTAAAATAGCATCTCATAGACTTAGCCTTTAAAATAGCATCTCAGACTTAGCATTTAAAATAGCATCTCATACACTTAGCATTTAAAATAGCATCTCATAGACTTAGCATTTAAAATAGCATCTCATAGTGAAGAAATTTATTGGTCATTTACTTACTGATTCTAAAAGCACAACACCATTTTATAGTTTTCTACTGTTTTCTATAAACTATTGTGTGATTATTGTTATGTCTTGATTAAAATAGTTTTAGTTACATGCCTGAAGCACCACGACAACACATAGATACTATTGAATTAAACATTAAGAAAGTTTATATCTGGTTTCAGCTGCAGGAATGTGGTGGAAGGGCCTGAAGAAATATGATAAAATCATTTGTACTTCCAGGGCTTTGGTCTGAGCGCTGCTAACTCTGCAACCTGAAGGATTAAAGCGCCGTTCAGAACCAGCACTGGTTTGGTTGTATGGTCTATTCTCTTCACATTTTAATCAATTTAACATTCATGTGGTTTATGCCTGGTTTAGACAGGCTTTCAGTAAAAGAACACTAATTTTCTTACAATAGACTTAGCATCTTATAGACTTAAGGCTCCCTCATACTGTGTGCAGTCTGTGAGCCACATGGACTCAGCACATATTGTCAGCGGATGTTAGAGACTTCATACTCGAGCGTACTGACCACCTGACAAATTCAGTCATTTTTCACAGTTTCAGTCATGATGCCACGGATGAAGCCACAAATGAAAATAATTTACTTTACTCATGGTCTGAGCTATTCCCTCCCATGAATTTGTTTCTCTCTAAAAGTCCTTATATTCCTGCTATGTTTTCTGATCTCCTCCGTGAGACACTCTTTCTCAGTTTCATCCAAAAATGATACAGATTCTCATCTTTACCTGCTTGGTGTCGCTTCCAAAACGATTCGATGTGAACTCACCAGGCGGTTTGTTGACCGGACCGCAACCCTGACCTCTGCGCAGACCAGTCAGGTGGATGGACGTCCTCCACGGAGTGAAGTACGCCCGAGTATATGGGGGGCCTTTAACATCTCAAATAACATCTCATAGACTATAGCTCAAAATGGTTCAACATCTCAAAATTATAACTTTAGCATATCAAAATAATGATTTAGCATCTTATAATTACAGCTTAACTTCTTATAATCATAACTTTGCTATTTGGATGCAAAGTTTTTATGAGACAAGACAAGACTTCCTTTTTCAAATCTTATAAATCATGACTTGGTCTGATCTTTTTATTTTTATTTTTCCTCCTTCAGTGGCAGGGATGGTCTTCCATACAAACAGGAGCTGATCTGCTCGGTAATGTGAGGGGTCTTGAGGGGTCTGTGATATTTAGGAGTACAGTGAAAGCTTGTGTTTCTGCAGCTGCGCTCCTCCCACCACCTCCCGCTCGCTCTGCGCACTTTTACTGACGGTTTGCGGGTTTCTCACCGATTGTTTGCCTTCTGGTTTAATATTAGGCTCGGTTTTTTTTGGATCCCTGCGCTCGTGTGTTAAAGAGGGAGTTTCTCTGTCTCGCGCGCGTCTTTCTGAATTTATTGCGTAATCGTTGCGCAACAGTTGCGCTCTGATCAGCCGCTGTTTGGTGGCACGTGACCAAAAAGCAGGACCATTAAAGGGTAAATAAATAAATAAAAAAAAATCACGGTGGATTGAGATCTGACAGCTGGATCGATCCCTCCAGGAATGCGGGAGGGGTCTGCGGGTTCGGGAGCCCAGCTGAGCGCCGCCCCGAACTTTTCTCACAGTTTGTTCCGAGCGGCAGAACCACGTCCTGTGGACCACGGTCCGTGCGAGATCCAAACTAAAATGTTCCTGTTCTCAGCTGCAGCCGGGCTGCTGGTCCTGCTGGGCTTCTACATCTGGACTTTCTGTCCGCACCTCTGGGCAGACTGCTCCTACATGTGGAGGAGCCTCAGGCTGGGCTTCAGGCTGAAGGGGTACAAGAAGTCCAAACCCTTCTACAGCATCCTGGACCAGTTCTTGGACTCTGCGAGGAGGCGTCCGGACAAGGTCCTGATCCACTTCGAGGGTCGAGAGTATTCGTACGCGGAGGTGGACCGACGGAGCAACCAGGTGGCCCGGGCCCTGCAGGCTGAAGCCCGGCTGAAGGAGAGCGACACCGTGGCCCTGTTCCTGCCCAACGAGCCCTCCTACGTCTGGACCTGGCTCGGTTTGGCCAAACTGGGCTGCCGGGCTGCCCTGCTCAACTTTAACATCAGGTCCAAATCTCTGCTGCACTGTTTCTCCTGCTGCGGCTCCAAAGTCATCCTCACCTCCCCAGGTCAGACTCAGATTTATTT